AATTACTTCACTCCCATAGAAATTATGAATTTATCATAGTAGGAGACTTTAATACATATTCCTTAAAATCTCCATCAATTAATGTCCCAATAAATAATTATAAATGAAAAATCTATAGAATAATGAACAATATGATAGATGCTAGCAATACTACAGCCAAAGAACACGTTTACACACATCACACAAGCACAAATTCTTCCAAAATAGATCAAGTGTAGCTCTCTTCCAACCTGGCAAGCAAGATCCTAAATTATCATATATTAGATTTCAATAATATCAAACAGATTACAAAGATATTACAATAATTCTTCAATGGTTTGAGTACAAACCACAAAGAATTTCCTACTTAACAAAAATGTACTTATTTAACAAGGCAACAAAGGAACAATTAAACTCTTTTATCGATAATATTAATTTAGTCCTGAACACAGAACCATGTACCAAATGGCATCAATTTGAACTTATAATAAAAAATGTTCTAAATTCTAATATCTCAACAAAAAAACAACAACATCCTACAAAATCAAAACAATGATTTCCTAATATTAACCAAGCCATTAAGCAATTGAAAAGTTCCATCAGTAAGAATAGAAGTAAGCCTTCCAATATTCTTCTTATAGGCAAAGCAAAATTCTTTTACAAAAAAATATTTAGCCTCACTTCAACAATTGCAACTATTAAAAAAAATCCTTAAAGCACTACTATTGGAAAAACAAAAAGAATTGCCGACTATATGGCTGAACAAATCTCAATATAAATTAAAAAAAACTATTTCAATTTTTGGAAAAGATCCAAACAATACATTTCAATAGCCCTTAATGACCTTAAGCCATCCTTGGATATATTCATCCTTCATAATAACACCTAACTATAAGATAATCCAGATATACTTGATGATATTATAATTAGCTATTATCACAAATTCTTTTACTCAATAAGTTTTCCAAAAATGAAGACTGGCCCTATATTACAGTTCTAGTGATCAAATACTTATCCATCTATATCACATTATCTTCACCACAATTAATAAGGCTGACATAAAAGAGTCAATCTTATCTTTTCCTCTGAACAAAGTACCTGGCCTTATCAAAATCCCTTACAAAGCCTGAAAACATATCAGCTTATATGTTCAAAAAATATTTGGAAAACTCCTAAAGGAAATTCTTAAAACTAGTCATATCCTGACATCCTGGAAAAAATCTGTTATTACTCTGCTTCCTAAAAAACTAGTATAGTTTCATGACCTCTTAGACACTAGGTCAATAGTCTTAATTGAAACTAGTCATAAAATCTTTACAAAGATACTTAACACAAGATTATTTTTCATCATTGCAAATAAAAATATTCTCTTGCAATCAAATTATGCAAGCACAAAAAATCAAAGTACTATAAAACCTATTTCTATTATTTGCTCCCTTATGAACATATCAATCAATTTAATGGAAAAATTATGGATAGCCTCGTTTGATATCTCTAAAGTATACAACTCAGTTAACCTTAATAGTCTTTTATAAGCTATGAATCGAATCAAGATCTTACAACAAATTTCATCAATCATATTGAATTTATTAGTAAATAGATCTCTTCAATTTATATCTCATTATAATCTTACTACTCCCCTATTGGTTTCCCAGGGTCTAGACCAATGAGAAATTATATCACACCTTTCTGGACTATTTTTTATGATCCAGTAATCTCTAAAATCGAGCAAAGCCTGCTAAAAGGCAATAACATTTTTGCTTATATTGATGATGTAACCATATTTACATACAAACTATTAATCTTACAAGATGTCACCAATACCTTCATATCCTTCCTAAAGATGGATTATATTACTTGTAACAAAAACAAGTCAGACCTCATAACTAGCCACTCTTTCAAAAGTGATAAATACAAAAAGAAGCTTATAGTAGAAGATATACCAATATCTCAAAGCCTATACATCAATCCATCAAGTATCTAGGAATATATCTACCAGACAAATCATCCTTATCTGTCACAAAAAGAAAATTCAAAAAGAAAGTTGAAAACTACATCAAATATATAATAGAACAACAAAGCTGGAATAGATCTATAACAATCCAAATATCCAAATGGATCATCTTAGCTCAAATAGAGTATGCCCTTCAGATAGCAGTAATCAAGGCCAATGACATATAAAAACTTCAAGCTTTTTTTAATCATCCTATTAAGTACAAACTAGGTATAGAAAGAATAATCTTCAACAAAGTTTTATTCTCACAAGTCAGTCTCCATATCATATCTCTCAAAGCTCAAAAGGACCAAACAATTGTAAAATTATCAATATCAATACTTAACAGCAGCAAAACTCTCTCTCAGATAAAAAAAGAGATTTTATCCATTCAAATGAACATAGTGATCTAGGCCTGTCCAATCTATTAACCTAAATTATTCCCAAATACTAACTTCTGAATTTTAAAAGCAGCTTTTATAATTCTCTCGTATAAAATCAATATCTGTCCTAAGAACTATTCATTCCAACACAAGGATCCATATCCCTCAATAGGGTTTCACTTATTGATTAACAAATCAACATTTATCATACTATCTAAATCAAATGTTAAAGTCATCAGTCATCTCCTTCGATACAAGTCTTCTAAAAAAAATACATAGCCAGAATTTCATACTAAAATTGATAGAATCTTACCAGGCAAGACTTCACTTTGGTTTGAAAATTTAAAACCCAACATATCAGATCTAATTGGAGACACTCTTTCTTATATAAATCTACACATCTCATTCTAAGCATTTTTCAATAATAATGATCTCGAATTTATTAAGAGATACAAAAACATCAAGAACATAGAAAAATAAAGTGAAGATATTTTATCCTCAAAAATAACAACAATAATAATAATTTACATCAACTGACTTTCTGCTCCTACCTGATACAACTGTGCATAATTTAAAAATCTATTTCCAATACCAAGTCAACCTGGTATATTATGTAAAACAACTCCTCTTATCTTCTAAATAACATCAATGAATTCAGATATATGCTTATTCCATAAGCTCCTTGGAACATTCCAACTATAAACATATCATTCTTTCTTTCAATTATAATCTCAAATCTCAAAAAGATATCCTTGTATTAATACTCTAATACTATCAAACTAGTGATTAATAACACTTCAACCCTTTATTCAAATCTCTTCCAAACACAAAACAAAATATGGTTTATTCTAACAGATCTAATACAATCAATCCCAGTGAACTCAAAAATCGAATGTAATTTCAAAAATCTTCTCAACTTTTTAATATCATTATACTCAAATAGAAACATCAAATTGTCTTATAGCCACTTCAGTAACTATTATCAAAATCTTTCCAAATCAAAAAACATTCACTTGCAATCATTACTATAACAAATCAGATTATAAAAGAGCTATTTACACCCTCAATAAACAATTACAACATATCGCCACTTATTAACAATCCAATTAGAACTAACTATATCCAGTGGATCAAATTTATTAATTTATTAATTAACCTTATTGCCATTACTACTAGCCAAAACTGTCTCTTCAAATTTACCAATATTCAGAACTTCATTCTATTCAAAGAAGTAAACAAAAAGTATTGGTATATTAACAACTATCTATTCTGATCATTATTTATATTCAAAACTAAAATTCTTTTCAATAGTCTTTTTACTAGAGCCAAACTTTACAGCAGATACCCTTCTCTCTACCCATTATCTAAATGTCTCCGATATAATTACATGACTGAAAATCTAGAACATATCTTTAAGTTCATAAAGAATTTAAAACTATTTAATAAAAAATTCCCTAAATTCAATAACCTTCTTAAAAAAATCCTATAAAACAAAGTCAAAAAAAAATTACTCTATATAAACAAATACTCATAATATAGTTATTACACTAGTAGATAATAGAACACTCCTAAATATTTCTTTAGGAATCTTCAATCAGAGTCTCAATCAAATTCATAGTAACAAGGCAAAGATTAAAATCTCTAAAAATCTTGTACAGAATATAAAAAAAAAGATCTGCTACTACAATTACAACACTACTTAATAGCATCAAATGGAAATCTATAAAAGCAATTAGATTATTACCTAATAATCAATTATTAAACCAATCTCACAAACTTCTTAACACTATTTTAACAATATCAAATGTATTCTCAAATTCTACTAGCTACTTTATCTTATCTTCAGCAATAATAGCATTATTTTCGAATGAATAATCACTATTCAACCCTATTCTAGTACATCCAGTCACAGACTGCAAGTGTGTCACAATATGATAATTGCAATAGGTATTAATTAATTTATTTAGATATTATAACCTTGTAAAGACTATTTATATGACTATTTATGAATTAATTTTCTAATAAAACTAGCATGTATTACTTATTTGCGATAAAAAAAAAAAATAAATTAATTAAAAATACTTATATAGTATAAATATATTAATAAAAATTTTTTTATTATAATTAGATATTTGTTTAAATTTATATCAATAAAAATTTCAATTATTAATTATATACTGTACAGTATATAAAAAAATATATGCTATCGTAAGTTTGACAATGATTAAATTTATTTGTTGCATCATTCTTATTTAGTGATCGTTGTATTACCGTGAAACATTTGAAAATCTTACGTAATGATTTTCATTTGCAGCATTGGTTGAAATAACTCGGGCTATAGCTCCGGAGAACAAATTTAGACATACCATTAGCAGGAAATAGTAGAGCGAAGCTTGATTGATCTCTTCAGCCACTGGCCACCTGTACGTTTTTTAATGTTTGATCAACTGTATGCACTCCTTTAATAGTGAAAAAATATATTGTCACGATATTATCTCTAAAGCGAATCAGAATTTGACCCAAGCCATAATACTACTTTATTCTGTTTGTATCATTTTATTTGCACGGAGTGTATAAAGATTAATACGTGATTTTAAATAAAATTCTATGGTTTTGCATTATTATCAGAAATTACGTAGGTGGAATTAACTTAACCCAAGATAATGTAATGTAGAATTTTGCAAATGTTGCATTTCGTCCATTGCTCCGGGGGAAATATCCGATGGGTTGTCAGGGGATTTCCATTGCGCAATAAGCGGTGGCTCAATACTATAGGAGATGATTTTTCCTGGTTCAATATTAAAGACCAACTCCACATCGACCGGCATTTTTGGATTGACAAGTAATTCTAATAACTTGGCGGCACCCGATGACGAAACAGCGTAAGCATGTGTACAAGACGGTCTTGTTGATTTAAATAATTTAAAGCCACTCGATTCGCCCAAAGGTTCACCAAAATCTTCTTGACTACAATGTCCAAGATATAACATTTCCCAATCAGCAGGTAATATACGAAGAATTTCTAACATTACTGACGATATGTTCATTTCGAAATCTACATCATCTTCTAAAATTAATGCACTTGAATTACGTTGGGCTACTAATTGCCAAACTTTATAATGACTGACGTAGCAAGCTTTTTGAGGAGGTGCCAGGTCACTTTCATATTCGTTGAGAGTTTTATAGTCGTCTTTGGAAATAGCCTCGAAAAAATCAAAATCGAGATTAAGAGCATTCGCAACGGCCTCCATCTTAGAACGTCTTTCTGACCGACTCTTCAAATTTATAACATAAATGTTATCGAAGTAAAGGGTTTGGTTCATAGAGTAAAGCATTTCATGTCCATGCAACGGTTGTAAATAGAAAAAGGTCGCAAAAAGGTATACCAAAGAAGTTATTGAGATAAAAAGTATTAGTATTTTTAAATTCCGATAGTTTTTTACTTGCTGCTGCATTTTAATAGTGGGTTTAAAAAGAAAGAATTCTCAACAAGAAAAAAAGTTTGACTACCATTTTAAATTCTGTCGTAACTTATTTATCTTACAAATATAGAGTTGTCAATGTATTACAAAAGTGGCTAAAGTAAAAATCGTATTAAATATGGTAAGTTTATATTTAATTTATTATAAGTATAAAGATTTTTATTTTATTTATAGAATATCAATTCATAAAAGTGTAAGTTCATTTATAATATTTTTATTACAATATCAGTTTTTTTGGGAGGAACCTATCGACCTGTTTTATTAAATAAAAGAATATATTGTAGTTTAATCAAAATATTCAAAAATGATATCTAAAACTAATTTAAGAAGAATTTTACCAACAACCATTTGTTATTTACTATGGAATCCTATATTCCAATTATTAAAAGATTGATGTTGAAAATAAAATATGAGCAAAAAAAAATAGTACTATTATATTTAAACTTAGATTCTTAATATTGATATTAATAAACTCTAGTTTAAGAAGAACTTTTGTTTTTAAAGTATTATCTCAATTTTTTAGTTTTTTAATAATACTTATTATAATTTATAAATTCTTATATTAAAAAGCTATCATATTATAGAAATTTAAATTACTTTATATTAATATTAATAAAATTAAAAACTTTTTTCTATTTATTTGATATTTTAGTTGTAAAAATTAATTGCTTATAATAAGTTATATAAAGTTATTAAGAAATTATTCATTTTAATAAATAATTAAAAAAATGATCAATAAGTCTATATAGTAGCATAGTAATAATGCTTCCAGGTTATAATTACAAGGTCCAGAGTTCAATACCATCTGAGGGTCAAGTGAAAATACTACACACAATGAAAACAATTCCATTGGATGACAAGTTACTACTTATTATTGAGTGCAATTCTAACTATCTTATCAATACCCAAAATAAAAGAATCTATTGTAATATGGCGTTACCTATAGCTAATCTTTACCAGATTAGGATTGGCAAAGGCACTTCAACAATCTTACCAGTCAATAAAGAAGTTGTCAAGTCAAAAAGGCTAAAGTCTTGAAAAGAGTAAACATTATACTGGTGGAATATATAAAAATATGGTTAAACTTGTCTGTGATATATTATTGGGAGATCTTGGTGGGAAGAAAAATTTGCAGACCATACTAAAGATCCAAAATCAGAAATAAGTTAGAGTACACGTAACAGTCTAATAACTAGATTATTCTATAAAATTGTTCTAGAAAAAATTAAGAGAGTATTGAATATCTTTTTTAGAAAAAAAACTAAGTAATTGAATGAGTTGATCTAGTATACTATATATAAAATAGTCTAATTACTTACTGTAAAGATAATATATAGTTTATATTATCCTGTAAACCAAATGTATACAAAAACATGTTAATTATAAAAAGTTAATAAAGTATATAGAAGAAAGTTCTATAAAAAAGAAAAATCAATAATATAGTATTTGAAGCCTTTCATATTGAAGCATATCTATAGAGATTTTTAGCAGTGGATGGCAATAAACATCAAGTTATATTTCAAGGTGTCTGCCTACTGTATTTTCTCTTTTATAATCACCCAAAATTTTTTGATTTTTTGAAGAATTTTGCTTACCTTAGTTTGACTCTGAATTTTAGATACCACAATCTATTGCAAAATATGATTGGTAGACACAAAACACATTAATAGCTGAATATAAATAAATATTTATTAATTATTTCATGTGTTCTGATAATGTTATTGATAAAAGAAAGAGAATCTATTGATACAAAATTCTCCACTTTTTCAAATGAAGTATAACTGAAACAAAGAAATCATGAGATTATTAGGATAGGCACTAAATTCCCTAGATAGTGAAAAAGTGGTTATTTGTTCAAGTCAAGATCTTTAACTTTTAATTATTCCAGTTAGACAAAGTATATAAAGGATGTTATTTCCTTATCCTAGTTAAGCAATAAGATTAAAAAGCAGAAGATTATGAGCCACTACCCTTTTCTAGGATTGAAAATACATTTCCTCAGACATTGTATAATATTATCATAATTAATGAGAATCTTCACTACTCTGTAAGACCCTTTCATTATTGCAATACAAAAAGACTATTGGAGAATCCGACTTTTTGGGCAATAGAAAATACTCACTAGTAAAATTTCTTTAATTAAACGTGGCTGCTAAAAGATATAGGTAGTTATACAATATGACTGAAAGATTACATCACTAGTCGAAAAAAAATTATTCAGCATACTGCCACTCGTGTAACATTCAGCAAAAAACATTACCACTCATATAATATTTGGCAAAAAAAAATGACATAAATAAATCGGCAACTACAAAAATTGTCAGTCAAAACTATTCATTAAAAATTCAT